ATATAAAACTGATGCAAATTCTTATTGAGCTTATTACAGGGACTTTTTGCAGGGTTTTTATTAACTGCACGGTCAGAGTGTGTAGACCTTAATTCTTCTTGTTTTATTCTGTTTGTCTTGGTATATTATACTGAGTGACTTGTCATGGTAAATCTATATTAAGTAGTTCAAACTATAAGGAATTACTAGGTTTTCTATTCAGAGGCAAGCAGAGACTGCGATTTAGACAAATGGTGATGTGTAATTATTAAATTATGTGATGTAATTTGTGTTTTTCTATAAATACAGTTCAAAGGCAGCAGAGAGATGACAAAAGTGGTCAAAACTCACTGAGGAAATTGAATGAAGCCACAAAAAAACAAATATGTAGAATGTTTTTTTGTAACACTTTCTATGAAGCCCGTATTTATAATACATTATAAGGGTATTCTTAAGGCATTATAATGAATGCATAATGCATTATAAAAAACCTTATAATATATTGTATCATCTCATGAATATTCACAAGAACAGTTTTAATATATTATAATATTTACTTATTTGTGGTTATAGCTTTTAAGAGTATGATGATTTATAACACAATGAACACGTTGCATCCACTTTTACAATGGATTATATTTCTCATAGTTATAATGTATTATAAGTCTCATATCTTGCCATTTTTCTTATGCTACTTTACTTAAAGCGGTCAAAGACCACTTATAAGTAGTAGTAATAATAATAATAATAATAATAATAATTAAAAAAAATGCTCTCAAACAGCCATAAGATCAGATATCAGATCAGATGAATGTGTAATATGACACATTTGCTTTGAACTATTTTTACTGTAATATCAGTTTGATTATTTTGATGGTACCATTTAGACAGCTGTTGATAAGTAACTCTACATAATGCCCTAAGAATACCCTTATAATATATTATAAATACAGGCTTCATAGAAATTGTTACCATGTTTTTTTTTGTAATGTTTTTTTTGTTGCAGTCTTAGCCATAGACGAGACCAGACAAGCCTGTGTGTGTGGTGCTGGTTTTTATGGAGAGTTGATGAGGATGGCAGACAGGTGTGGTGATTGTGAAGTGTGTGAGATGAAAGCCAAGGGGGATTGTGGGAGATTATGTGTGCAGAGATGACAAGCAAGGTGACTGATTATCCTGACAGTATTAATACTGCCCACATTGACTCTGATTGTTTCTGATAGTTCTTCACAAAAAAACAAAAAAAAAAAAGTCTGCTGGTGGAGCTCGATTTGTAATGAATTATGTGCTTCATTAGCATTGCAAATGTTTTTAATAAGCATGCTTACTCCAAATACACTTGACAAATGTAATTTCTCTGTAAGTATACTGAGTTTGCTGATAAAATATTTTTTTTTAAATAAAAATTACCTTTTTTTTGTCAGAACAAAATATTTTTATGAAAATGAGCTTTATTTTTTGTCATTAATGCTCTGACACCTGAAAGTATTGACTTAGCAAATTCTAAAAAAAAAGAAAGAAAAAAATAAATTTTTGCATTGCTGCAGTACAGCTACTAGTTTCCCAATGTCATGAAATCAATAAAAGCCATTTTAAAGATCTTCAAGGCCCAAGGTGAACCCAAGTAGTAAAAAAAAATAAGACGATGATGATGACATAATCAATCATTTAAACATAGCTGTCACTGTATCATATTACTTGCATTTTACAGGTAAGGAACAGTTAGATGTCACAAAATATGTTCTTTCTGTAAATTTTTAATGAGCTTTTTTTTATTTGCTTTTGCTCTGTTTATTGGGGATGAATGCATTTATTTTACACTAAAATAGCAATATTGTGAAATATTATTACAATTTAAAATAACTGTTTTCTATCTGAATGAATTGTAAAATGTAATTTATTTCTGTGTGGAATTTTCAGCAGCTTTTACTCTATTCTTTAGTGTCACATGATCCTTCAGAAATCATTCTAATATGCTGATTTGCTGCTCAAGAAACATTTATTGTTATTATCAGTGTTGAAAACTGTTTGTGGAACTGTGATACTTTTTTCAGGATTCGTTGATGAATGGAAAGTTCAAAAGAACAGCAATTATTTGAAATGCTGTCACTTTTGATCAATTTCATGCATCCTTGCTGAATAAAAGTATTAATTTATTTCAAAACTACAATCTTATTGGCCGTGTTAATTGAACTTTTAGAAATATGCCTAATCTGTGAGGAAAAAAATTATTCTACATATCAGGGGATAAAAAGGCATAATTAATTAAAATGATGTTTTGTTGAGGTAATGCAGTTCCTCTATTATCTGACTGCTGAATTTCTCTAAGTTGCAGAGTAAATTCCTCTTCCTGTCGTTCCAGTTCAAACTCCAATTCAACTTCATAAGGGACTTGGCCAATTCATTTCAAACTTATGAACTGAAGGTAATCCTATTCTTAAACTTCTCATCCCTGCATGTGTATAAGATTGTCTCTCATATTGGTGCTGGCTTGCTCAAGTGTTCATGGTCTTTGTTGGATTAAGCTCGTCTTCAGTGGTGTGATCAACTAAGAGGTGCTGTGTGTGACCATTCTCAAAGAGCTGGTGCAAAGCCCAAAATCACAGTTAGATGTAATGGCTATTCATTGATCACATTCATTCTCTTTACAATCCATTTACAGTACATTCATCTTGATATTACAGCATTAAGTATAGAATAAGACATCGAAACACACTAAACAACAAAAGTTAAACCTAACAAAAGTTAGGTCTTAAATAAGCCACTTGGCGCAGACCAATTAGGACACAGTCTAAACATTTGAGTCATAATCATAGATTGTGCTCATTCCTCGCATCTTCGCTGCACTGCTGTTCTGTCACCCTACAGTAGCTATATTATAACAGCATCTGTCCCCTTTGGTATTTACCATGAACGGTTCACACCAGTGCTCATTTACATACAGTGGACAAATACAAATACAATATAAATAATACAAATGCACATGTCAGGCAAACGTTTGTGCAACTGCGCAATACCGTCTTGAGAAAAGATAAACACAGCCCATCTGACTCCGATTCAAATATCAGAAATGTTTAATACAAGATTAACATGTTTAAAATGGAGACCTTCACCAAACAGATTGTCCTGTTGAATGTTTAGGGTGTATATTAAATGTGTGATATTTTTGGCATAAAATCTTAGAAAAAAAGGTACAAAAGCTGTCACTGGGGCGGCTTTCAAAAGGAAGTCATTTGTACCAATTTGGTACTAATATGTACCTTTAAGGTATTAATATGCACACTTCAGGCATACAGTAAATAAGGTAAAAAAGTTGTTCTTTTTGAAAAGGTACCACCCCAGTGACAGCTTTTGTACTTTATTTTTATGAGAGTGTAATAAAAATCAAATTAAATTAAAGTTGAAGTTTAATGCGGATGTGGCACAGTTTGGCTATATACAGTAGAATCTCTGTAAACAAATGATTTACTATACTCTAATATTTCTTTATATATGACTTCAGCCTCTTTTAACGTCACTTGTTTGCACATTGTGGGAAACAAAATAGGGGATTTTGAGCCCAAAATGTTATCCTTGTAGAAAAATTAGTTCACTCAGACTTTGAGAAGGGAATAATTCCCAGTGTTTTCACAGAAATTCTCTGAAGAGATTAGGACTTTAGGACTGACTTGATCTAATTGTCATTGATTAATCTACTGTAAGATATAGATCTGTGGAGTCTTAATTGCCCACAACCCGAGTCAGTTAATGGCATGAATAATCCATCTATTGATCCCAGGCTTGGTTTTTACCCACCCTGACAGGACTTATTTTCTCCAGTTCCTCCATCTGAAACACTTTTTGGTTTGTGACCCCTTTTATTCCAGATCCCGCACTGGATCCTGTGTCATTCGAGCAGACCGAGTTATTACAAAGCCGGCCAGTTCTCATGTTCTCCAACTCCAGACACGTCTTGGAGTTCTTCATAACACCGTCGGTGTACACCCGGTTCCTTGCTCCAAAATTCAAGGGATTGGAGTTGACCACTGGATCCCTCACGTCTCCTCTAGCTTTCCGTCGCATTCCACTCCTCACCTTCATTCCGTCACAGCAGCACGAATGCGTCCTGCACACCGCCTGAAAGCCCCTCTTGAAGTTCTCATTGTAATACCCGTAGATAATGGGGTTGACGCTCGAGTTCGAGAATGCCAACCAGTGAGCAAACGGGAACACGTAGCCACTCAGGAGTTCCAACTCGTCTTCATTTAGACCTCCGTAGTCCGTGAGGAGCATCAAAGTCCACAGAGGCAGCCAGGAGAGTGTGAATAACAAGGCCACGATACTCAACATCTTAATCACTTTGATCTTCTTTTGGGAAATGAGAGGCCGGCCTTCCTGCTGGGCTCCAGGGGCCGGAGGTGAGGCGTGAGGCTGTCCGCTTTCATGCTGATCGTTCCCAGAGATCACAGAGGTGGTGTAGAGTTTGATCCCAATTCGTCCGTACATAAGAGTTATCAGGGTGAGGGGAATGAGGTAAATGTGTGCGAACAGGATGGTGGTGTAGACTTTTCTCATCTGTGGGTTGGCCCAGTTCTCAAAGCATGAGAAAAGTGGGTATGTGTGGTTGTAGTCTTCATTGTGGACCATGTAATGATGCTCCACTCTCTCCACAGTTAACGTCACAGCTGATGGACACATAATGACCACTGCTAGCACCCAGATCATCACTATGGTCACCTTGGCAACCAGCAGGCTGAGTTTGGGTTGGAATGGGTACACAATGCAACGGAACCTGAAGGAGATTGGAACAGAGCTCTTCACAGCTGAAACAAATTCGTCAGGCATAAACTCTATGCCAATGTGAGTTAATCCTCTACTTTTTTCTGTATTTACTTTCTTTTTCTCACATTATAAATGTTTTCTTCGTCTCACTCCTCCTTTTTATAATTTTCTCTATTTTATCATAAAAACATAATCTATATGTTTTTATTTAAACCTATTTCCTGAACAGCCCAGAGAAGTGGTAAAAAAAAAAACCTTTCTCACACAGGATTTGATGATATGTTCTCCAGTTCCTCCATCTGAAACACTTTTTGGTTTGTGACCCCTTTTATTCCAGATCCCGCACTGGATCCTGTGTCATTCGAGCAGACCGAGTTATTACAAAGCCGGCCAGTTCTCATGTTCTCCAACTCCAGACACGTCTTGGAGTTCTTCATAACACCGTCGGTGTACACCCGGTTCCTTGCTCCAAAATTCAAGGGATTGGAGTTGACCACTGGATCCCTCACGTCTCCTCTAGCTTTCCGTCGCATTCCACTCCTCACCTTCATTCCGTCACAGCAGCACGAATGCATCCTGCACACCGCCTGAAAGCCCCTCTTGAAGTTCTCATTGTAATACCCGTAGATAATGGGGTTGACGCTCGAGTTCGAGAATGCCAACCAGTGAGCAAACGGGAACACGTAGCCACTCAGGAGTTCCAACTCGTCTTCATTTAGACCTCCGTAGTCCGTGAGGAGCATCAAAGTCCACAGAGGCAGCCAGGAGAGTGTGAATAACAAGGCCACGATACTCAACATCTTAATCACTTTGATCTTCTTTTGGGAAATGAGAGGCCGGCCTTCCTGCTGGGCTCCAGGGGCCGGAGGTGAGGCGTGAGGCTGTCCGCTTTCATGCTGATCGTTCCCAGAGATCACAGAGGTGGTGTAGAGTTTGATCCCAATTCGTCCGTACATAAGAGTTATCAGGGTGAGGGGAATGAGGTAAATGTGTGCGAACAGGATGGTGGTGTAGACTTTTCTCATCTGTGGGTTGGCCCAGTTCTCAAAGCATGAGAAAAGTGGGTATGTGTGGTTGTAGTCTTCATTGTGGACCATGTAATGATGCTCCACTCTCTCCACAGTTAACGTCACAGCTGATGGACACATAATGACCACTGCTAGCACCCAGATCATCACTATGGTCACCTTGGCAACCAGCAGGCTGAGTTTGGGTTGGAATGGGTACACAATGCAACGGAACCTGAAGGAGATTGGAACAGAGCTCTTAACAGCTGAAACAAATTCGTCAGGCATAAACTCTATGCCAATGTGAGTTAATCCTCTACTTTTTTCTGTATTTACTTTCTTTTTCTCACATTATAAATGTTTTCTTCGTCTCACTCCTCCTTTTTATAATTTTCTCTATTTTATCATAAAAACATAATCTATATGTTTTTATTTAAACCTATTTTCTGAACAGACCAGAGAAGTGGTAAAAAAAAAAAACCTTTCTCACACAGGATTTGATGATATGGAAATTCAGAGTTTTCCTTTTTGAAGCGACGGACCACTTACTGGGTGAATCTCACAATGTCCAGGTCACATTTCAGCCCAAAATCAAATGAAGAAAAAAAAAAACAAGAAATTATATTTTGTATAAAGAAAAGTAATAAAAACATAATCTATATGTTTTTATGTAAACCTATTTTCTGAACAGACCAGAGAAGTGGTAAAAAAAATAAACCTTTCTCACACAGGATTTGATGATATGCAAATTCAGAGTTTTCCTTTTTGAAGCGACGGACCACTTACTGGGTGAATCTCACAATGTCCAGGTCACATTTCAGCCCAAAATCAAATGAAGAAAAAAAAAAACAAGAAATTATATTTTGTATAAAGAAAAGTAAGGCTTTTTAAGAACCATTAAGATTTTTTTTGATTTTTATATATATATTTTATATATATATTTACATATATATTTCTTATTATAAATGTTGATGACTATTTGCTGCTCATATAGATAAGAACCATTGTCATTTTTAATAATTAAGTTCCAATAATAATTGCACCAAATCAGCATATTAGAATGATTTCTGAAGGATCATGTGACACTGAAGACTGGAGTAATG